AAATATAATTAAAATTTTATCACGTTACGGCAAACACCTGGCGAAAAAAATAAATAAGCGGCAGAAATGCAAAAAATGAGAGCGAAAGGAATCATAAAAATGTAATTCAAAACTCGAAATTAAACGAAATTTTATTATTAAGTGCAGGCACACACATAAACATATATACATTTTTATTGGGGCTGCGACGTGAGGCGTCTCGAGTGCCAGCCTGTAATAATCCCGGGCAAATATTACGCATACGCAACGTGTGCGTACGCCTGTGAGTGTGCCTAAGTTTGCAGGAGCTCTCGAGTTTGCTTGGGTGTTTGTGCAGCAGCATAAATATTATGGCCCACACACGTAGCTGCCCTCCAAGGAATCGAAGTGGGAAAGACGCCTTTGATTTTTAGTTAGCGCGGAGGCCTTGTCGATTTTTGCCAATTTTGACAGCAACATTGTCGTCGCCGCATTATATCCGCCTCTGCCACACCCACCCGCCACCAGTCGGGAATATTGAAAATTGCTCCGTGTCTCCGGGTGCTGGTGGTGTTGTTGGAGCAAACGTGCCATGGATTTCAAATGAAACGTGTTGGAGCAGTTAGAGTGAGTCAAAAAAATACTCATACGCCGCGTGAGCCTCGCACATTTTTACGTCTCCTATTTCTCCTATTTATGCACCGAGAAAATTGGCAATTTATGCTCTTAAGCAAAGAGATATTTTAGGCAACCGAATGGGCCCTCAGATGCAAATGGATTTGGTTAAATATAGGACATTTTCTATCTAACAGGTAAATTATCATGAGTCGAAATATAAATGTAGGCGAATTCAGGTGTTTGAGTGTAAATGTTCTTCTTACTCCTTGGAATTTTGTTTGGTGTATTTGTCTGTATGACTGTATGGGTGTGTTTTGTGCAACGCCGTTAGGCGTTAGGCGTAATTTTAATGGCTCAAACACGCTGCACACACACACTAACACTAACTCTGCCACACAGAAAGTTGTGGCACGGAAATCAAAGTGTATTTTGAGGGGCTTCGAGGGTTTTTGTAGGGTTTTTCGGGGGATGCCCGTGTAGGTGTTGTACCGGAAATTTAATTGTGTGCGTGCTGGCGCAGTCAAATTTGCTCGTCCTTCGTTGAGCTTTCTCTTTGTTGCTTTGTTTGTAAACAGGTGTAGAAATAAAAACTAAGGCACTCCCAGGCCATTATTGTGTTTGCGTTTTGTGTTATATTTTGCGTTTATTTTTATGATCATGTCGCTCGTTACGAGTAATGCCTGTGCCAACACAGCCCACTCTCATAGAGACGAAGTGGTGTAAATCGACGGCGAGCAGAACAGAGCAAAAGTGCTGGGGAATGGATTTGCAGCAATTTGCGCCAGCACCTTTCCCATATCCCACATCCCATTTCCCATAGCACATAGCCCATATCCTTTATCCCCTTTGCCGCTGCTCCAATTGTAATTGGCATTTAAAATGATGCTTCTGGGATGGGTTGAAGGTGAGTGCCCCGAAAGCCACTTCTTTGGGTTATCGTTTTCTTTTGCAGTTGGAGATTTGCGGCTTGGTGCGATGGGGTAAACCAACTTAATTAATTGCTTTAATTGCAGATGTGACGAGCTGTCAAAAGGGGACTCACACGTTCGCCTTTTAAGACAACGAAGTGAGATATCAGAATAATGAAGGGCGATAATGTTGGTCCTAAGTGCACAAAAGGTGGTTTTTCTATAGGAGAAGAAACTGAGGAAATGTCTGTCCCCATAAAGTGCAGCTAAAATAATGTGATAAGTAGTTTTTGATTTAATAAATCAAATCGATAAGGAATAATTCTTTTGATAATATTTGTGGAAGTCGTATATTCAAGGTGGTTTAGTGGCACAACCTTAGAAATAGAGTGTGTTTGAACTGGAATTAATTCGCCTTTATCATACTTCTTCGTTAGGGTTCATCAAAGCCTGATGAATATTTAATCCGTAAGACACTTTCTCTGGAACTGTAATTATCTATGCATTAGCCCAAAGTCAACTAAAGACTAAACACAGTTCCATTACACAAAAGCCTTAGTTCATGTGGCATAAATTAGGCACAAATGTGAATTGCCCATGGGCGGCGCTCAAAAGGGTAATAAATATTAAAGTATATGAACAATAAAAATAATTGATGATCGTGAGGAGTTTCAAATGAATCAGTTCTGAAAGATTTACTATTAATTTGAATTTTACTATATCTTATAGACTTATCTTAAATGAGAATCGCACGATAACCCAAATTCTCAACAAGAATATGTCACTGACCCGACCCCTCTTGTACTACGTCCTTGCTGTTGTCCTTGTTATATGAATATATATGGGTGGGCGGCCAGTAATGCCCAGACATACAAGTATCTCATAGATGGCAATTCGCTCTGTTCTACAACTGTTAATTGAATGTAAATGACTGAGGACCTCCTTTCAATTACCCCCACCTGTGGCACAGCATAAACAGATGCATAGAGCATATTGAGAGGTATTATCAGCTGGCGAGTGGAAATCGAATCATGTTTTTGTTGCCAAGTTTTGGAAATCTATGCAAATAGATTCGCTTAGACGAAAGGCCAGAGATCAGCATAAATTTGGGCTTCGAAGGAAGGAAGAGGCAGTGAAAAAAATACACTAAAACGCTTTAAAACTGACTAAATCACTAAATATGGTATGGTATAAATATATATGGTGGGTATGTTTCGGAGTGAATCCAAGAAGTGCCATATATAAGGTTTCCAATACCAATAAGGCTACCAATATATTTCTCAGTGCTTCTAAGTAGCTTAGGAGCAGCGACACTTGAGTGACGATTGCCACTGCCAAATACTTGAGACTTGAGTGCCACAAACTTGGCTAAGATTTCAATTTATATGATAACAGCAAGCTCCATACATATCTAAGGACCAAGGAAGAGCCAAGAAACATGCTGAATGAATGTCTAAGAAAATGTTCGCCTCCCCAAAGTTACATAAAAACTAGACTCATGCCATTCTGCACATTCGTTAAACCACCACACCTTCCCAGAGATCGGAATCAGTTGCGAAAGCTGTATTGGCTGAAATGTCAACGGCATCGGCAGGTCCCAAAGTCGATGGCCTTCAGTGACTGGGAAATTAATTAATAGTTTTGTCTGCCCAGCTCCTCACACTGGGCCAACTCGCCCATTTGGCTACATTGAATGTACGTGTGTGTGTGGTTCTTGGCATTCGGTTTCCGAAGCACTTTGAGGATATTGCAGGACGATTGCTATTAGCATTGATTGGAGGCGTCCTTTGTTTGTCTGGCATTTGACCAAGAGCTCTGGCCCGGACTTTGATGCGGTTGACTTTGGTCTGGGCTTGGTTCTGCGCCGAGTAGGGCTTCTTGGATGATTAGCTACTTGAGACTGTGTAATTATTGTCTAGTTGTTTGCCAGAAATGCCATGAATACTGCTACTGGGATAGGTGTAAGAATGCCATGACTTGTTAAGAGATATTTTCGGATGTGGTAGTTAAATATGGAGCTATGTAACATGTATTTAAGGTATGTATCGCAGTTGTCAGGAGTAGAGTAGAGCAGTAGAATATTTTGTAAGCTACATTGACGTCTTGGAAAGTATCTACGTAGTTCAGGTGGTGAAATTTTGTTAAGCCTTTACGCAAATTTATAGATTTCTTCGCCCTTTCCTTGTGTTGTTCTTGGCAACAGATTTTACTGCTACCTAATCGATGTAAACTTGATTCTTAGAACAACAACGAATCCTGCAAACAATGAGTAGATTGTAAGCAAACAATGTAACCAAATTGTGCCAACAAATAAACATAAACAAACCCCAAAAAGAAGAGGGCCCGGAGCCGCGGGTCAAGCGCTGCAACAAAAGAAGTCGCAGGATCAGAAGGAGAAGGAGAAGGAGCAGGAGCAGGAGCAGGAAGCGTAGTCCTGTGGATGGACTTGTGGGTGGGATGGGGGTGGTGGTGTAAATGCCAAAGCTGAGAGTGTTCAGTGATTTAGTGGCCTTGTGTTTACATTCGTGTGGGTTTGTTTGCATCAGGATCGGGATGTGTGTGGGTGGCCTGATTGGGTTGGAGCTGAATAAATAAACAAGAAATCAGCAACAGCCAGCCCGAAGCTGGATAAGTGTGTAAGAGGCAGAAGCTCCCGAGGATTTTGTATCTGATTCGAGACTTGTCCAGGACTTTAAGTGTTTTATTTTCCGCAGCGGGGTGGCAAACAAATCACAGCATCGAGTGTGTGCGCTAACTCAGTTGTCTCAGTCCTCCTGTCATTCGCAACTGGCTTTTCTTTTTTTGACAATTAAGTGTCTGCTGAATATTCGTATTCTCTGGATTGTAGTTGACTACTTTTCGGACATCTTAGCGAGTACGATGCAGCACTTGTTAGTTCGAGAGAAAATTGCTTGTAAATGAATGGATTGAGTGCTCCTTAAACGAGATACTTGCAACGCAATGTGCGTGTATTTATGAAAATATTGGACTATAAAGATAACGAAGAATGTGAAGAAAGTGATTTATATATTCCTGAGGTAGTTACCCGACATTACTATCTATCCAAGTTCAACATACATATCAATATTTGTATGTATGTATGTCAAAATGATAGCAGTTTCTGCTGATCTTATCAGTTTGAAATTTCTTGTCTTTTTAGACATTATTGTCAGATTCGAGCGAATTCCAATGTATCGTGCTTCTAAGTTATCAAAGAAACCGTAACAACAAGTAACAAGCCAATTTGCTTATATCGCAAAATAAACCTCACAGGGGCATGAAATCGAACAGATAAACACACTTAAATCCCACCAAAAACGTAGTAAAAGCGCCCCTAAATAGTAGTAATTACAAACGTAGTTTGTAGTGCACTGATTTTCCAATTAATCAGTGGCAAAACGTATCGGATTGCTTTGCCAGTGAACACACGACCGCTGATTGATTTATGAGTTGCTTGTTAGAAATTAGCAAGGAAGGCAAAAAAGCATAAGGCAAAAATAGAACATCTATGACCGCTTGTGAGAATTGGTGGCACAGCCATATATTTCGTTATCGTTTACGTTTATCTTATCACGCATAGCTCCTAACAAGTTGCCAGCAAATTAAAGCGCTGATTGCACCACAGCATTGAGACACCTCATCTTGGCCTTTATCGAATTGTCTTATTTTCAGTGCTTTCAGGGGCTTTTTTACGGACCCTCGCCCATTTCGGCTTACTTTTATTGACATCGTTTTGCCTTGCCCCGATCTTAGAGCGCGGTGTTTAAAGACAACTAAAAACTAAATAAAGAGAATGATGCAGTAACTTAGGCAAGTGGTTGAATATTGTTTGTTTTCTGCATTTATGGTGGCACATCTCCTTCTTTAGGCCTTGATCAGCAGCAGGGCAAGGGCCAGGAAGCCAGAAATCAGGGTCAGAGGCACAGTCTGTCCGGCGGAGCTGGCGCGGCAACTGAACGATGATTGGGAATCGAAATAAGTAGGGCTTTAGATATAGCAACCTGAAATAGAACTTACCCAAACTGGGTGACATTGCCGTAGGTGTTGGCCTGGAAATTGCTGAAGGACAGAGCGGCATCATTGTTGGCAGTCTTCACGCCTTCAGGAGTGTAGGAGGATCTGCCCAGAATAAATCCAGCACTGGTCGATACGTTGCTGGCATCGGTGTAGGTGCATCCAACCAGGTAGGTGGAGTTCACGTAGCTCAGCAGCTTCACGAAGACGTACTCCTTCTTCTGGCCATTCACCAGGGTCACATTGTATCCGGCCGAGTTGTTCTCCACCAGGGTGATATTCGCATTTTCGTAGACGTCCACCAAAGTGGAGGCGGCATTGCTCGTGTGGCTGACATTGACCAGCATGTTGGTGTTCTGCCAGAAAGCCACGTTAAGGGTAATGCAGGACACAGTCGAGGCGGGATTGCGGGCCAACTCGATCCACTGGCCGCTGAACTGGAAGTTGAGAAAACATATTTAATGTTTTATAATTTCACGATAAGTATAGACGTATGACATTCCCTCCTTTTTTGGAATTTAGGTGTCCTGTCAATTCTGAGCAAAACCGATGTCATTGCTAGCTGAGATCTTGTAGACTTGCGTGTTTTTTATGACTGCAATAATACATAAACATTCTTTCACTCACAGCGTTCTGGTTGAAGCTAATGCCGGTGGCTTGAGCGCAGGTTTGTGGCGTTGCGGTTTGGGCCAAGACCTGCGAGAAGGAGGCCACGATGGCCAGGCAAACGATCGCACTTTTGCACATGATTTCACTGTCTATGTGTGTTCTGTATCTGCCGCTTTGAGGTCCCGGTTCTGCGATCGGTTCGCTGCGAGTGCACCGTAATACTGAACTGGCTTCCCACCCACAACTGTCTTTTATAGGCGTATATCTTTTCCCATGTTTTCGCTGCTATTATCGATGCCTGCACTTGTGGAACGCCTTGCTTTGTCACCGATTTACGTACATCCGACGTCTGTTATCGCTCCGTGGAATGACTAATCCCCCGGGGCTCTACGAATAGTGTGGTGTTGTTATTGCATTGAAAACTCCCCTGCACATTGGCCAATAGGTTGACTTACCTGCTAAGCCCTTTGACATGGTTTTTAGGAAGTGATTCTGCTGGCCAGAAATAGATTCGGTGGTCAATAGGCCCGATATCAATTGAAACCCCATTAAAGGTACAGTTGTCCTCTTTTAATTTGTATAGCTATCTCTTGGCTTAAATGTCCAAATTAAAGGCATAAACAAACGTTGTAAGTTCGTCAAAATGGTATGTGTGATATTAAAGATATTTTATTTTGAAGGTTCAAAGTTTAATTTCGTTTCCGAGGCCGAATTACGTCTTTGACCGGGAATTTTGAAACGTTGCAGATATCTTACTCTTTTTCAGTTTTATCGAACTTCCCGTCTTAATTTTGGTGTTCTATTCAGCATTACTCGACATTTCCCATTCTTACGATCGTCAATGCTGTAAGAAAGGTAAGTTTTCTTATCATCAGTAGTAGATACCAAAAACAAATAGTAATTTAATTGAAGCCCTCCTCGCTGGGCCTTTTATCAAAGCATTTTTGTGATCTATCACCCTAAAAAATATACATATATAGAGGAAACCTCTTCATTGCTGGATTAAATTTTTTATCGCCGCCAGACTGAGTCAATTGTGAAAACAAAAACATGAGTGCAAAAAAACAGAAACGGGAGACGAGAGACGAGAGAAGCGCAAGTTTCGATAAGAAAACATTTTTAATAATTAACAATCAGCAGCTTTTCTTACTTCTCAAGAGTTCGAAAGTTTCTGCAGACATAAAATCATGTTTATGGTAGCTAAATCCTTTTCTAATAAAATAATAACCGAATAATTGATTACATCGATAATGAATAGGTTTTTATTTCTTTGAGCTTTACATGGAAATTACATACAACACAATTTAAATAAACATTTACGATAAGAAAAAGTGGTAGTTATCTTCATTGCATGATAAAATCTAAATTATTTGACGGTCAGAAGAAATGCCAAGAATAAGTGACATGACAATCAACAGTGTGGAAATAATGGTCGAAGGGTTGGCTCCGGATGGTGCATAGCAACTGAAAAAAGCAAAACTATAAGATATATTGGGGACCATTTACATTTTTCAGCAATTTTTTCTAATTGCTTGTGAATATATTATAGCTGGCATATAGCCATTTACTTTATTTAGTGCCAATTTAAAATGCCTACTTACGATGCTCCCTGAGTTATGACTGACATGGTGCCATTTAAAAAGTTTGAGGATATACTGGAGCCCAGGCTCTCGAGTTTATTTAAGGCCTCTGTGGTGGGGGTGCGATCCCTAGCAAGGATAATTCCGAATGACGTGTCGCTATCAGTCTGATTTGTATAGCCACAAAGGAAGGCCACATCGGTGTAGTCAGTGTACAGGACCTTATACACTGTGTAGGGAGTGTAGCCAGGTGGGTTCCAGTAGGTGAAGTTGAAACCATCCTCGGCCACATTGTTATTCTCCACAGTGATGGTGGCGTTCATGGTTTGATTCACCCATGGGTAGTCAGGAGATACGGCATACGTGGTATCGATCAGGACATTGTCCTCGGTTTTGTCTAGCACTGTAATATTCACCTCGGTGCAAAAATCGATGCCGGACGGCTGCCGAGCCACTTCCCACCAAATTCCCGAGAACTTTGCCAAAATGTCTAGTTAGTCTTTGCAAATTCACCAAAGTGCATACGTTTTTACCAGATTAAGGTCAACAGCAATGCTGGTGGTCACGTTACAAAGCGCCACATAATCGCCACTCTGGGCCTGGATCGTTATACTTCCTTGTAGAAAAACCAAAATGCAAAGGAGCCCCAAGGCATTCGTGCTACTTGACACCATTGTGAAGGTGTTGCTTGTGACCCGGCTTCAGATCCAGAACTGAAGAAGTGAATACTTTACGGTTGGTAATTAGCTAATTGTCTGACACACGTCGGTAATCAATCAATTGTTATCGCATCAGTGCGTGATCACGATTAAAAAATGATAAAATGAATCAAAAGGGCTGCACTTTGTGTACACCACTATCAATGGTAATTCGTGAAAAGACGCATAGTGTAATAATCCTATATTATCTTAATAAATCCCTATCATTAGATGTTCTATATCTATATCAAAAGACTTGTGACACTACGTATGCATTATCATGGCTACTGTGTGGCGCAATTGCCAATATACGCGACAAATGATAATTGCGCAACATGTGCCTACAATTTCTTACGGTCAGATAGATAAGCAGTAAGACCTTTGTGCCACACAACAGGTTGAGTGTTTAGCAAACAATTGTATGACAATACTACTCGTTCTCATTTCATTACCAAGAAAGTGCTATGAATGAAATGCTATTGTTTGATAAACTCTTAGCAATTCGCCACTTTATGCTGTGTGAAATTTATTTAGAGAGTTTTTTACCGTTTTCTTCCCCCCATTGTTCAACACTGACCCATATTGCAACAACTTTAACCAGTTTTAAGGCAAACTTTTATCTAGGTAAGCCCACCACAAGCTTTTCGAAGAAAATCCTCAGCTTTCAACTACTTCGAACAGTGTTGAATAGCGCCTCGTGGTGGGTGGGAATAAGTGTGCTCTTAGATAGAGCGATTATGTTAACGGCTGCATGTCCTCGACTTGTCTTCGACATGTCTTGTAAGCTCCCAAACACCTCCATAGCACATTAATTTTAAATGCCTTACAAGCTCCCCTAGAAAGAGTTGGGGATGGGTGTGCGAGACAGAGAGAGAGAGAGAGAGAGTGAGAGAGAGAGGGGTTGATGAACATGTGCCGACTGTACAAGTGGTACAGTTGACACACATTCGACGCGATTCGGCCATAGGCTTTTGTCTCGGGAGTCGTTTTGTCCCCGAAAACTTTTCCAACTGCCAAAAGTTGACTGCCAATGAGGAAAAAAACATGGTTTTAGCAGTTGGCAGAATAGTGCCACGCCCACAGCTGGAGTTCGCAGCTGAGGTAGCTTGTATCTATTATTTAATTAAAACTATTCTGGGTGAGCGTGTGTAGGGGGCTAAATAATTTAATTGGGCCATGTGTGAAAATTTGTAATGAATGACAAAACGCTCTCCGGCACAACTGGCAGTATAACTTTCCGAGTTTGCTGGTAAAAGGTGAGGGGTTTCGGGGATAAAAGTGAGAGAACACTGCAACTTTTGATTAACACAGAAAGGAGTTGAGGTTTCCAGGAGACCGAGCTAATTGCAGCTCTAGTAAAATATTGTTTAGAAAGACAAACAATACGATTTGGAAACATGTTTAATTTTTGCATGAATTGAACTTTTTGGCTCCAGCTTTGAATATTTTTTGACTAATGATGACCCTTTGTAAATTGTCTGTAATTACCATGTTAAAATTGTTTTCTGACTGTATTCTAAATGCTCAACCTTTGGCAAGCCATCTATGTTTGTTGGCTAGGTCAGTTTCGTTATGCTTTTGAAGGTGAACTTGGCTCAATTCTAATTAAATTGCTTCAAGTCAACTGAATATAATTCAGCTATTTAGGTCCATTGTGTGGGCGGATCATCTGAGAAGTGGCGACACGTGTGCGTACACAACAATAGATTCGAAAATTGAAACTATTTTAGATTTGGCGGTTTACTATCTTTCCTCCTGCCCCAAATAGCTCAAATGGGCTCGTTATAAGATCAATTACAGCGGACTAGTAGCTTTTATCAACAGTGCGCACACTTCCAGGCTCCTTTCCCTTTGCTGCAAAAGAGCACTCCTCCGCCCTGAGAAAATAATTAAGTTGTTTCCTCAAGGCAGGCATATATGCATATACATATATCCTTGGCACGACCGCACTGGCTCCAGCTATCGCTCCTCATTTCCACCACTGCAAGTGACTGTTAATTACCCCATGAGCTTTATGCAAAACCCCAAGTAAAAGAAGGAGCTGTGCAAACTTTCCACTAAAGCGAGTCCTGTAGGAGTGTGCATCCTTCCACACACATCCTGCCACCCGAGTCGCACTTCTTTGTGGAGTTGCCACTCAAGTGCGCACTGCGCAAGCCAATTTAAATTTTAAAATAAGCACATTAACTGCATGCAAAAGCGCTAAAACAAACTCAGCCGTACAGCTCGTCGTACTTCCTCACTTTCTCCCCTTTTTTCTCCATGGAACTCACGCGCGCATATTTAATTTGTTGCAGATTCACGCGTCCTATTAAAAGAGGCAGTCTTTTTCGGAGAAAGGGTTTGCGGCAGAGAAAGTATTGCGGTACACTCAAGAAAATCATCTTTGAAGTCTTTGAAGGCTGAAGGAACAAAAATCTCTTTTGTTTTCAAATCACATTTGCGCTCGTCATATCCGTTAATAATTCCACCCGTCAGCTTACGGGAAATAAAACGCCAATTTTTAATAATTCATAATTTGATTGGATTTTGGATTTTCTTTTTCTTTCTTTTAATTATTATCAATATCTGCTTATAGAAAAAGGTGTAACTAATTGTTTAATCTGTTTTACAAAAAATGTATAAACTAACTAGTTGCTGGGGGCATAATTAATTGCTAATCATTTCATTAATGTAATTGATATTTATATTGATGTTTAAGTTCTCCACGTCTGTTTACTTCGATTAACTGCCATTAAACATTATAAATTCGATTAAATCGCTCCTTTTAGTTATTTCACTTTGCATTTAAATGAAAATAATCTCCACATAGTCTAAAATCCAAGCTGTAGAAAATGATTTGGTATACGAAAGATCTTCAAGTAGAGTCATTGGCCTGATATGCTGTCCTAAATTTATTAGTAAATTAACATGAAAACAATTATTTACATTCCTACGGTAATTTAGTTTGCTGCCTAACATAGATTTTTATGGAATTTTTAAACATTTTATAATTATTGTTTACTTGTTTGGAAGAGCTACAGCAACATTTTCGTTTTCACGTCCGTATGTACAATTTGCGATGGAGGAAAATTTCTTATCGAGTTTGGTTTGCTTGGAAGGTTTAAGATTAGGATAAAAGTTCGTCGACTTTAATATAGTGTTTGTACTGATATTGATAGTATTAGAAACCAGGTGTGCTATATTACATAAATACGATCGTTGATATGTAAAATTCAAATGAAAATAGTGTAGAAATTGAGTTTAATGGAAACCATTTGAAAGAGAAGAAATATGGAATTTAATAATATACTCGTACTACTTTGTATAAAATCATAGCCTGTTAACCATACATCTAGTTAATTTTAGGATTAGTCCTTGTAAGCTGCTGTTCGTTTTTTGTCACTCGCTCGATGATTGTGCTACTGCATTTTAAATGTCTGGGTCTTTCATACCGTTTCTGTATATATACGCCTTATATTGTTTATAGAGACCACGATTTGATAGGCTGTTTTCCAAAAATCACAACGACTTGAACTTGATCTAAAGCAATAATTGCATATCATATGGCTGATGGCTGAAGAAGTTAATCTAGGCTAAGTTTAAATCCTTTTAAGTTTCTACTCGTGGGAGGGGAGGTCTAGGGATCGGCCCTTATCAATATAAGCATATCTCCTCCTGGGTTTCTTCAATTCTATGCTATGTGTACTCTACGTACGAATATGTATGTATAGACTACGGTTTATAGGATACATTGCATTGTGCTCATATAAGAAAATTTAACATTTCGCTTCCGCTGACACATCGCTGGGGCAAAGGGGCACGTTGGGCTGGGGGACTATAAGGATAAGGATATATGGATATTTTTACCGATTACGTGGGCAGGGGGAGGCAGTGATCCCCTTCTGCTATTTACAATTCTTTTACAACCTAGGAAGTGTTCTCTATGTCGCGGGGATTCATTGACAAGGGCACCCGCTAAAATGGTTCACTCGAAATACCTAATGGGTGTTTTATCTGATTTTCGCTTGCGCTTCTTGCATGGATTCCTTACCAAGATACATTACAAAGCTTTACCAACTAGGATTTAGGTTTTACAGTATATTATTGTTTCGGTAATAAGTAAAATATGTTGTTCTTTTATATGTAAACAGTCTTTTTAGAGCCTTTGGTTGTCGCTAATCAAAGGGTGCGGTTAAATGCAATACATACTGCCATTTATGCTTAACAAAATCCAACAAAGTTACTATTAAATCAACAATACAATATTATTTGCACATATGTTTGTGAAAAGTAGACCGCTGCACAAAACTGAAATGAGATTTTTTTACTGTAAGCTAAAAGAGCCTTTGAAAGCGGTTAACATTACAGTTTCTCTGAGAAGTATGCTGTTAAAAAAAATGTCCCTTTTATTTCTGCTCCGAAAAGTATACTGTGAATTATGAAAAAATTTGGTATTCGTTTAAATTGGAATGGGCAAAATTTTGTGGATAATACGGCCCGTTGCAAAACCCATAATATATAAAACTGAAAATGTTAAAAAGGTCAAAAAATAAAAATCCATTTCGTTGATTCTATTTTGTTTTTTTAATATTTTGGTATATTTTTGTTGACCTTCAGTGCAACTATTTTTCGTAGGAGCTCTTCTCTTTATGTACTTCACTTAAAAACTAAAATAACAAACAAAACTAAAGTTAAAGTTGAACTTAAAATTAACATTATGGACATATCTATTATATAACTAGATTATAAATTTGTTTTGCAGGTTTCAATTTAGTTTAGTATTATAATGTAGAATTTGGCAATCACATTGGAAAAACACTTAGGACCTATAAGTTCTTTGCTTTGCGACAAGTTCTTGCTTTTGAAACAGAGCGACAACTTGGTGGTATGGCAACCATCTGCGATAATCCTATCAAGAAACTTTGGGCTCTCTGCTTCGAGTTTAGTATGTATAAGTTAAACAACTATTGCTTTGACGATGTACACGCAGGACAGTTTTGATATTTAGTATGCTTAGCTCGAGAGATATGACTAACTGTACAAGGGCTTGGCTTCAAAACCCCTATTTACAAGGATATTGTATACTTTATATACTTTATTTTACTTTATCTACGCTGGTGAGAGACTGGCAGTATTGTTGTTTTCCAATTGGGAAGTGACGGTGGAGCAGGCGCTGCCGTTGTTGTTTGGGCTGGTGGCACTACTATTGCTGCTGTTCCCCGAGGTCTTGGCGATAGCTCCTCCACTGGTGCCCTTGCCCCTGGAGTTGAGATTCCAACTGAAGTTGAGGGCTGAACTAAGTTTGCTCGGTTTCGGTTGGGCTAGCACTTGGGGCTCGGCTACGTCATAGTCCTGTCGCCCAATCGAGCTGGCAGGCGTATGGTGACTGTATCCCGAATCGGATCCAAAGCTGGAGTCCCCATAGGGATGCCTGTAGTCCGCGGCAGTGGGTAGCAAGGTGGAGGCGTAGGGTCGGGCGCCACCAGCACTTTCGTAGTAATAGTTGGCATTGTACATGGGCTCCGCGTAGCAGTAGGATGGCTCCTGGGCCATTGGTGCAGCGTGGATGCGGTGGTGCTGATGCTGATGTGGTGCCAGTCGACGATCCAATACCCTCGGCTGAGTTCTCGCCCTCATCGTGGCGGCCATCAGGCCACTGGCCACACTCGAAGGATACTGCTGGCTGGCCTGCGGGTAGCGGATGCGTTCCCTGTAAATCGTGGACAGCGGGGGCACTGGGGCTTTGCTGAGTTGCGAATTAATCCGATTCCTGCGCTCCACTTCGTGCTCCAAAGTGTTATAGAACTGCGGTGCTGTGGAGCGAGCCACGTAGCCCAGGGACATCAGATTGCTGCGGTTGTCGTACAGAGGCGCCAGGTCAGCAATATCCGCCGTGGAGGTGCTGTTGTTCAGATCCTGATCCTGAGTGCTGCGACTTTGTCGCGTGCGGGCTGCACGGCGGTTGCTCGATCCCGATGCCAACTCGTGATTGTTATTGGTAGCAGAGGATGCTGTCGCGGTGGAGGTGTCCTGACCCGTCGAGGAACCACTGCTCAGGACACTGTGACGCTCTTGGACAGCCTGTGGCAGATTCGCGGATACAGCCGCTGCTCCAGTTGCTGCCGCTCCTCCTGCTGCGCCTGTGCCACTGCTGCTGCTGCCCGCCGCCCTCTCGAGCGCCCTCTCGTGATAGGGCGTGGCACCGGCCGTCGCTGGCAGGTTGGTTTCCTTCTGGAAACTGCATTCGCCAGGCAGGGATAGTTCGTCCTCGGCGAAATCATCGTCGGAGTGCAGTGGCGGCTCCGATTCACCATCGGAATCAACGCGTCCCGGTCCCAGCTCCTCGTAGACATTGTCATTGGAGCGATAGGGATCGGGTCCAGGTGAGGAGCTGACCAAAAACGGTGGCGAACGCGTCATGGGATAGCCGCTGGGATAGTGAATACTCTTGCCTTGGAGCAGCTGTAAGGGAAGAAGGAAAAATAAATTAGATACATGTTGTAGAAGAAAAAAGAATTTAAAAGCGGTTGGCGTTACTTTTACTTTCTTGGCTGCACTGCGAAAAATATTTGCATTGCTGGCAATCATATTAAGAGTATTTGTATTAAGAGTACTTCATTCCTGCACTTTCCGTAAACCAAACAATTTTCCATGCAAGCTTAGTGAACCAGCCAAAGGAGAATGTTTGAAACGAATGTTGAGGTCGTCATTATGCCATTTTTGTGCCCCGTGTGGCATTGCAACCCTCTTGCGGGCAGAAGAAGGTTGTTCCTGGTAAGCCGCTTTACTGCCTCGTACCCTCGGGCAGGACTTTGAAATGTGACAGGACAGGGAAATGCGGCAGGAGGAAAAGGGGCAAGGAAAAGGGGCAAGTACGAAGGGAAGGCAACCGAGCAGCATAAGCAGTTGTTGAAACAGAACAAAGCTGACAAAGGTAGAAAAAAGAAGTTTAAAATGCCACGAGAAAATGAATAATAAATGCGTTAGAAAAAAAACAGAGCAGCTAAAAACGACCCATTTAAAGCATTGAGAGTAAAAGTTGAAGGGTTATTTCCCCGCACCAATTGAACTTTAAAAACTAGGTCGAATACTCGAACTAATTGATGCGAGACATGCGTCTAAGGCAGGAAAAAGCTTCAAATGAAGGCTTAATGTGTAAGCTTATTGAACTGGAATATACCTAAGCCTCCAGCAGGAGCTGTTTATCAGGCAATAAAATAAACACACACTTGAAGCTAAATATACGCAAAAATAAAGAGGGAGAGGTGTCCCTCGAAAAGCGCAAAACTCGAACATAAAATATGAAAAAATGGAATAAGCCCGAGGGCGAGCGCGCCATAAAGAAAACACGTTTTGGGTCAGAAAAAGCCCGCGAGGCGTCAGAGTCGTAAAATATTTAGGCACACAAAGGAGCTGAAATTAAGCTGGCTGAGGGAAGGGGCGCACAGGATACGCCATACTCGCACATATCTTATGAATATGTCCGTCGCTGTACGTTGTGCCATGTCAAGTTCAAGTGTAAATTGAGGCGTACAATGGGCATAAAGGACCATAGACACAAATGAATAATATGCAGAAAGGGATATGCTTGGCGAGAAGGAAGTGCGGTTTCGTCTTACAATTGAATTGCATGTGACAGGATCAAAAACAGAGCGGTAACCTGAACGCGAGACAATGACTGCGAAATGTTTTGACAGCGATTGTCGTAATGCTTGTCAGTTGCTGCTGACGAGCGAGGGTGGGAACTCCCGAAAGGATATGTGCTTCATAATGGATCCAGAGATACTAACCTCGGAGTGGTGCTGCTGATAGTGATGATGGTGCGCCAGCTGCTGGTGATGGTGATGCCGATGCATCACCAGGGGTCTATGGTGGCCCAAGTGCGCATCGGGATCCTCGTACATCCCGTGATGATGATGGTGGTGCGCCGATCCCAAAGTGCCGCCGCCCAGGGGCATGGCTCCGTTGAGGGGGCCTCGGTTGGGTGTCTTGCAGGGCAGCAGATTCTGCACCTTCCGCTTGTTTCTGCAAAAGAAGAAAAGAGCAAGCGATTAATAAGTGCTTCTGCGATGGCTAAAGAAGACTGATGATGATGATGATGTTGCTCGACTTTAGCAAACATTTAGCGTCGCCTTCGGCTCGCCACCCCTCCTCCTAATAGAGCCATAAGTTCTGGCCCAAGCCAATGATAAATCGATTTGTAATGACCAACAGGGTGTAGAGCAGCCTTGATAAATGTCAGGTAAACAAGGCAACGGCCGGCTATTGCCGCCTTGCGAAATTGCCCGAAAACAATTTGATTAATAAAGAATGCCAAAGCAGCACAAGCCACTCACAGCCAAAAATTCAATTTAAATGAGCACAAAGCGTCGGGCTTGTCAGAATGATGATGAGCCCGAGAAGCTGGGATTCCCCAGGAGCGACAACCGCGTGCCATGAAAATAATGAACATAATTAAGTGTTGCCCCTGGCAAAGAAAACAGAGAGCCTTGAGGAGACGACCACCCAACGACTCCCTCCGTCGTGCAGCCATAAGCATAATGAAAAATGTGAAATTAAATTGACGCCACGTAACTGGGGCAGGATGAGCCCCAAACATCCTTGTAATGTCTTGTAGGTAAACATGTTGCGATGTCAAAACGGAAGTCGCTCGTAAAAACCCTCAGCGAACACAAACACAGACGCACACGTGAAAACTGATTGTGGGAAGACATTAAAAATGCCTGCCTACTTTCCCGAGTTTCCGAGTTTCCCGAGCACAATGAAGAGGCATATACGAATTCGCTTTTACCTAGGATTTTCTGTACTACATTTTTGTGGGACTTTAAAGTTTATAAATTGAATTCAAGCCTGGAGCGCATTGCATATTGAATGTTATAGTTTAGAAGAGCTGGCTTAGGTGAGGGCTTATTGATCAAATTAAAATTAAAGCTTTTGCGGTCTTTGGAGATTACATACTCCAAGTCTTTTTTGGCTGACTAACAAACTCTATTTGGCAGTGGATAATATTCCAGATTCCCTGCAGGATATAATAGACAGCCCACACACTCACAGTACACACACGCCTCTCACATTTCATTTTAGCCAGTTGAAGAGCAGCTTGTTGACTTTTGGGTGGGAGTAAGACAAGGAGGAGATGTCATGGAGTGAAGACGGGGGATGGGAACGGAGCATCTTGCCAGTTGTCTGCCTGCTGGAATATTCTTCAAAGTAAATTAAATAATGTGGCATGCCACAAGCCAAGGCACTCCGCACTCGACTTTTGTGCCCGTGCCTCTTGATTTTATTTCATTTCACTTACGAGGCGTAAAAACGAAATCAAGGATGAATGCGAGCCGTAGAGAAGTAGAGGAGGAGGAGGAGGAGCAGGCCCTGTTGGCTTAACCCTTTGAGAGGCTTGTTTGATTTCTAAGCGTTATGGCCAACTGGCCATAAAGAGACGCCTTGGAACTCGGCGCCATCCCCCAGAGTGTCGTACAATTTGGCAAGAAAGTAAACCATTTGTATGCTCGATATATGCAGAAAGGGGTTGAAGCGAGGCTTTAGCCAAATGCGAAATGCGAAATACCTTTGGGGGGCAGAAACAGACACGGGTTTTCCTTTGGCATAAGCAATTTACAATAAAAAGTAGCCGGCAACCGAAAGGGGAAATGGGCAACAATGTTATTGCAAATGTGTGCGTGTGAGGGAGTTACTGCCTGGCAAGAAGTGAATCTTTTATTTATGAACTCTGAACTAAAGTTCCAGACTCACACTCACACTTGCGTCTGCTGGGGGTTGCAAATACTAAAGCTCGGCACGTAAAAAAGCAAAACTACAAAGGGAAGGAAACCAAATGGAAATGGGCAAAAGAATAAGGAGCAGTACTACAAATATTCCCAAGGTATTGCTAAAGGGCGGAGATCTTTGCCAGAAGCGGGCTGCTAATACTTTGATATGGAAATTGCTGAAAAAGAGATTGAAACAAGGGAAACAGAAACTGAAAACTGCATAGGCGGAGAGAAAGTGGAGGAGCAAGCTGGCACAAGAATTGAAAATTAAATATGCCTGTTCAAAACTCGAGACGATATACTTCCCAAGCCATAAGAAAATCTTGAAAAATTCGCTAGGCACACACTTTCGTTTCTGTTTGCAGGTCAACTATGTGCTGCATTTAATGAATACATTTTCCCAGGCAATAATTTCGTTTGAGCTGCAGTCAAAGTAAATGCTATTTGACTGCTTACTCCGGCCACAAAACCAGCACCGCCACTTTGGTGGTCTGCTCCGCCCCTTGCCATGGCCCCCCTCCCCCCTCCCCACACTCGAAAGGCCCATCGGAATGACCATTGCATAATTTCACTGCAGTCGGCCGGCCAGCCAGCCAACAAACAAACTGACCGCAGAGACAAAACCGCAGGGCAAGACCCGACTAGGCATCAAATTACCGAGAGCAGGAAAAGAGGAAGGAACAGCTGTTGACGGCGTGAGTCACACAGTAGCTTGGCAACTCTGGAAGAGCCGAGTTGCATTTGATTAAATCGGAAATCGTCCAGGCAACCGTGTTGAGCCACGCTCCCTGGCAGTAATCAGCTGAAATTGTGATTGTCATTGCATACTTGATAACAACCTCCATATACGCTCAACTCCAAGTCAAATAGGCGGTGGAAAAAATTGATTTTACTTATTTACCAGGCAACAATGTTAATGCTGGCATAACTTTTACTTCTCGTGGCTTTCGGGGTTGCCCTGCTCATTTAATATGAATGAACATTTTGCCGGGGCCTTGACTTTGCTGGCGGCTTAAATTTGTAAAATATTTCCCAGCATTGGTTGGGCGAAAATATTTGCTTACAAATTAAGCATATACGTTTATTGAATTATTATTAACTGGCGACAATGTTAACAATTTTAATAACAAGGGCTTCAGATTTTTTTCCAAAGAGCATCATTTTTTGTCGGTTGCCGCCACACGCACACGTGTTGCATATGGTTTTTGGTATGGAGTGGCACTCGAATCTCGTGTAATTAATAAAGTTCCAGTATGCAAACATTTGCATCAAAGTGTGTGGCAATCGGAGAGTGCTGAAAACTCTCTGGCGGTTTATTAAAATAATTAAGGTAATTACCAGCGGAAATGTAGCGGGGTTGCACAAAAAAAAGGGCAAAATGCATCATAATAAATGCAATTTATGGTTTGAATTTTATACGATAATCGGTTGGGGGCAATCTGTCCGGGGCATTTTAATTAATTATTTATAAAGAATTTAACGCAATACAGCGGATGGAAAAAATAAGAGATTTCGGAATTCCACGAAGCAAAGCCTCTAACTTTTTCTTGCAGTGACATTATGATTATTTGATTTGATTCGAAGCTCGAATAAACAAAATTAGTTGCTATTTTATTTATGGCTTTTCATAGTTGTGTGTTTATTTGCCCAGCTTTTCCTTTTTTCTGCTTCTAGGGTCCAGGACACGCATACACATAAAAGAAAAATAATGTGCCACATCATAAATGCCACAAAAATGGCACGAACACACACACACTCACGCACACATACGGACACCGTTTTTCGGGGGAGGTCAGTTAGACACTTAAAGCTGGGACACCCACACCCACACCCACACCCACACCGACACACACACGCATGCATAGATAACTATGTAATAAAGATGCCTGTTTGTCCTGTGTTTTTTGCTGCCTTTGTTATGGCGAGGCACAACCTCAAAAATGATGAAGCACAACAACAGTCAGTGTTGTTTTTCCTCCATCTCCAGCTCCATCTCCGCCACCGCCACCGCCCCCTTCCGAATTTCCCAACCATTTTCCACCCACTGTGCGTGCGTGCGGTCAGCAAACTTTAATGAATATGTATGAAAATCGCTTGTAGCCATAACTCCTCCGCTTTTCCCATGGACCCATGAATATTGCCGAACAAGTTGCGCATTGTTGGTGAAAGGAAAATCGATTTTGGGACAGCCTTGGGCTTTTTTCGGAGCATATAACTTCAACACTTGTTGATGTTAATGAGCGGGGGGCATGAGCTCATCCTCCCGATATACCACATCCTTAAGGATCTTCCGCCTTCCTCTTTAACCCTTTAAGGGCTGGGCAAAAAATGTGGTGTAAAGCTTTGGCCTTGCCCATAGCCATTATCTAGCCGGCTCTTCCTCGTTTCTACTCTGCTGTGCGTGCAAAAATCTTTGCCAGCTTTCCCAGCTTTCCCAGCTTTTCATGGCTCTGTTTCCACACTGCATTACATGCAAACAATGTCCAGGACTCGTTTCATTCGCCCCTTTTTCTGCAGCTCCTCTTTTGTGGTTTATTTCTGCAGCAGATTTCATTTCGTTTGCAATCCGACTGAGTTTTTTCGAGTGTTTTTTTTTTTGTTGGTTTTGCTTGCTTTTTTTGCGGAGACTGTAAAAGTAAATTGTTTTATATCTTTACTTGTGTGTTGTGCATGTGAGTCCTGTTTTTTTTTACCACCAACTAAAAGTTGATTTGTGTGTGTGCCTGAGCCATTTCTCACGTGCTTTTTTCTTGCAGCTGCTGCAGCAACATTTATTTAAAATTTCAATTTAATTTAGTTTCGGTTTTAAGTGCACCCACACAGCCACACAGCCAAACACCCACACGCACACGTTTACATTGCCATATAGGTCAGTGTGGCTCCGCTCAAAAGTAGACTACATTAATTTTCGTTTGGCAACGCGTTTTTTCGTTCTCTTTCTCTCATTGGCCCCGTCCCTTTCCCTCGCTAGCCCTGTTTCGACAGCTTTAGCAAATGGGTTTTTATTCCTCCGGTTTATTTTCTTCTATTTTCCACATTTTTCACATGTTTGCATGCATTTTTTGATATAGTTTTATAATCTTTATGCATTGCTTGCATTTTTTATACGGCGTGAACATTTTTGCGGCTCAACACTCTTAGCTACCGCGATTTTAGCTGCACTGTATTTTATTTGCCAGCGTTGGTACGGAATTTATTATCCTCTGACCCGACTGAGTTGATTACGTTTTTCGGGAGGTGTTAAATTATGGTTTATGCTTGTAATTTCTAGGATTGAGTTTGGGGACTTAGTTTTCAAATTTGAATTGCGTGCACTTAAACCTGTTACGTGGCTAACATTTTGGGAAAGCTTCGCCTCAGCGCAATCCGAAAGAAATTCCTACGAAGTGCAGCAACTCCGCCTCTTTATCGCATCTCAGCTATCTACCACTGGAAACTCTATTTTTTCTTCTGCGGCTTGGAGCCACATAAATCATAAAGGCAAAAGAGCAACATGTTGCAGGCAATGGTTAACGCCTCCTTTAAAGCCTCAAAAGTCTGCAGCTTCCACTGCGGCACAGCAAAGAGAAAAAATGGAAAAAAGAATAGTTGCCAGAAGGGGACAAGCCGCTGTAATAGTCAAGACAAAGCCACACAACGCGTTTGCAGGGGAAAATCATCGAGTGTGGGCCAGTCCAAGTAATTGAGTCATTGCGGATATCTGTGCACAGGACACCGAAAGAAATTCCCCACTTCAAATTCCTATTTTACACAGATGACTTCAAGTTAAGATCTAAATAGAAGCATGCTTCAATTGGTCACCGGATTAAAGTGCGCCTATTAGGCATACAATTTGTTCAGTGTACTTACTTCCAAACGATCAGCGACGAGATGAGAACAACCAAGACCAAGAGCAGCGAGAAGACGGCTATCATGGCCGATGTGGCCAACGACTGACTGCTGTACAGGCTGGCATCCAAGATCTGCAAAGATATGGAGGGGAAACGTGGGTTTTAGTCGGGGGTAAAAGTAAGAGTAAAAGTTGGGTGTGAGTAAATCAACGCTCAACTCAAACACAAAGCCATTTTGCATATAAACAAAGGCCCCAAACGCGCGGCCAAAAGGAAAACCAAGCTGTTGGGAAGGAGGAAAATATTTTCGTAAATATGCCTAACGAAATGCAAACAAAAGCGCAGCGCACGCGACTTGCGCTGTTAACCTTTCGGTTACTTTGGCTTTTCCTCAAATTCAGGCCGGCAATGTGGGCGTATTACCTTTTTCAACTATTTTCTTTTTTTCTTTTGACCAGGCCCAGGAAATTAAGGTCAGCTGGAGTAGGGATAAGGTGGGCAATTTGCCTTTGAATTTATGCTTGGGCATGCAAAAAAGTTGCTAAATAAATAATGAAGTCGGAAATAAATGAGGGAAATCAGTTGATACGAGAAGTGAATAAAGATTGATAAGGACGAAGGGGAAATGGCTTATCTATGGAAATGGAAACATAGAATAAAAGGAAAAAAAGGAAATTAAATAAAAAAGTTAGAAAACATCAAAACGTTTTAAATATTAGATATTTTTTCAAATACATTTCCCAATCTTTTGACCTAAAACATTTGCCTATCAGGTCGCCGCCTTCAACCGTCTCTGTCTCTGTCAAAAAGAGATAAGCCGAATGTGAAATATTTGCATTAAGTATTTCTATTTATTTTACATTTTATTTCATTTTTGTTGGGCGTTTGACCCGAGAGGCAAGCTTGAAAAGGCAAAGCCAAAACGAAGAAGTGGGAAAAACTCCTCCACAAATGCACCTGTCGTTCGGGTTACAAACGCTCATGCGGCATAAATCATTCAAAAACACGGAAAATATTTTTTGGCCATGAGACACAGAGCGTGCGAGCGAGACGGGGTCAAAGAAAGCGAGAAAGAGTGCGACGCAGCATCGCCAAACACAGAAATTGGGGTCAAACTTTGACAGCTGTGCAAATAATTTTGCCGGCGACTGTATGCGTGTGTGTACTTAGGCGGCGCTCTTTGTTTTCGAATGTAGGTTACTCTTTAATTCGTAATGCATTTTGTGCATTCACTAATTTATTAAAAGCATTTTTCCAGCTCTCCGATTTTGATTTATTTGCCCACATCAAACACAAACGCGAGTGGCACAGTTTGCGGCAAAATGCGGAAGCACTCGCCCCACTCACTCACAAAGCGATTCAAACGCTTATCAGCTGGGCTGCAGTAATTAATCATGCGCTCGCGGCAAATATAAATATTATTCATATTGCATTGAGAGCAACAAATACGGCCTCGGATCGAGAGCATAAACAAACAGCATTACAAGAGAGCATTTCCATCTAGCCCCAGAGATAAGCCATTAAAATATTGGAGCCCCACAGCCGCCCCTTCCACATGGCGAAATTGTTTAAATTATCGAAATTATGGGAAATGGGAAAAGGGCAAGAGGGGGGCTCCCCGAAAGCTGCTCGCATTTGGATCGCTTATCAACGAGCCAAGCCAAACGCACACACATAAAAATGAAGAAATTTTTATTTTGAAACCCATTCAGAGACAAATCGACTCCGTAGCGAGGCGAAAACCAAATACAAATAATAATAAATTAAACAATTATGTGTGGCATGTGTGTGCAGTGCAACGCCAAAAGCTGAAAATCTGGCAGGAGGGCTGCTCAAATGCTCGTAATCAAATTGATTAATGAGACCTGACACGACTTTTTCCCTCAGTCTTTTCTCTTTGGCTTCGATCATTTCGTTTCATTTGAATTTGGACCATTGGAGCATTGTAGCATTGGACGGATCCAATGAATTGCCAAGAGCGGTACGAGCGGTCGGAAAAATATAGAATACTTTAGGGTATTATGTCATATTTACTTGTTAGTAGATAGTGCCACCAATGTCACAAAGCCCTCGTCAGCACGCATGTGCCCCGCTTGATACCCTACAGTCAAGCTTAGCCCTCTTTTTCTGCCACACTCCCAATTGAATTTGTAGAAATCACACTTGCGTCACACAATATTCCGCCGTCGCTGCAAAGAAAATGAAACAATTTCCTTTTGTCTCGCCTCGGCAACATTTCCCGCTTTCATTTCGTACGCTTCACACATTTTCCACTCAACTTTGAACTGCTTTGTGTGTGCCTGCGTGCGTTGATAATCGATAAATCTAAAATACATACATGTGTTACTGTTGGACTCGCGAGGCGTTTACCTATTTGTACTGCCCATTTTGGGGGCAAGCAAACAAATGCGTGGAGCTTGTTTCTGGAATCGCGAGGCGGGGGCAATAACAGTATATAACTGTATGCATTGCGACAGTTGTCGATTGCCACCGAAACGCTTCCAGCAGCTGCCTTACGGATTAACCCGAAGATAAAATGAAAATACAGAAATACAAAAAAAAAAAAAAACAAACGGCAAGGCAAACAGAGTCGCATTATCGATAACAACAGAAGTAGAGTTGCTCGGTGTTTGCCCAGATAAGCAGTGCCACCGGTATGATTGAAGGCTTTCCATCTAGGCCGTTTGTAATAACCGCCCGCTCACCCCTCGCTCACCCGCCATTCAAAAACACACACTCCCTGGCCCCTGGGCATTCCATAAATTAAATTAAATAAAGAAAAGAAAATAAAGGAAAAGCTGGAAAAAAGGAGTAGGCATGGTAGGCAAGCAAAAGATAACGATAAGCGATAAGCGAAAGACAAACAGTGGGCACTCGGAAAAATAGATTATTTCAATACACATTCAAAATCAATTTCATCAACTCATGTTGATAAGTTTTTCTAATTGTTATTGTCTGATTTTCTAAATAACTTATAAGGCAACTGCGCGCGTTCATTTCTTGCGGTGCATCCAGAACAACTTGGCCGATAAAATAATTAAGCCCTCCTTCAAGTTGCAGACAACAAAAGCCATTAGTCGGCGGGTTTCGGGTGGGGCGGAATATAAAATTATGGCTTAAAGTTTACACCCACCCGAAAAAATAATAATAATAAAAAGCGGGAATAAGGCAAAGTGAGATTAACGCGGCGAAAGCTGGGAAATGTTGTTTACTTTTATGCGTGTGAGCTTTTGTGGGCTGGTGTGCGGAAAATGTTTTTCCGGCCTTGTGGCAACTTTTAAATCGTGAAAAATCACCAGGCTCAAGGGCGGCAACCGGCAAATGGCAACCGGCAGGCAGCAGGCAGCAGGCAGCTTGAGTAGGCCATTAAGTGAAATGTTTGCCTTTGACCCAAATCTTTGAGTGTGCCCAAAGTGCATAAAAAAGCTGGAACAACATTGTTGGAAGACCGTTTGGCAAGTCATCAAAATCAGTCGTCAAAATGAATTTCGCCACCCATACGTATGCCAAGTGCCGTACCTATGGCAAAGTTCTCACCGCTCCTGAAACTTTAAAGTTAACAACTTTTCGCTCGCAAAGTCAACGACTAGCGCGTTTTCATTTTCGTGCCTGATGAGAAAAACACAAAAGTTTTCACCATCAAAACACGACAAAAGGAAAAGCCAGCAACAAGCACGTGCCACTTGCAGGATGAAAACTATTTTGCAACAGCAACAGCAACAGCAACAAAGGCCAGAACTTGGCTGCTTTGATAACATGGCAAAAGTTTTTCGAACATGCGATGCATGTGTGGATGGCGCCTTTACGTTCTATTTCTTTTTTCCCCCTTTCTTTTTTTCAGCACCCCGCACCAAGTTCGATTTCGCTGCACGTGCATATCGGGAATCGACCTGGTGGATTCCTCCTGCTCCCCTCCCCCAGTGGCGCTCCTTGAAACCCCCGGGGTTTTTGTAACCACTTGGCAGCGCAATTGTTTGGAAACAGCTCGTGATTGAGCCCCATTCCCATAAGATGTTCGGGGGTGTAATGAGTTGCGAAACTTGTTGGGCCGCTGTGGCTGTGGCTCTGGCTGTGGCTGAGATGGCGCCGATAATGGGGTAGTGGAAAAGTGCAACGGAAAATGGAAAAGGCATTAGGGTTACTTGGAATTTAACAAGATGATGGGGGGAAATCATCTGCACTACAAATTAATGTAAACCTGCCTGAGGCAGCTTGAGGTTGAAAGCCATTTTCTGGTTTCTCCAGCCCTATGCAGAAATATCGTACTTATTCGAGCAAGAACTGCCCGAATATTTTCAACAGGACATCTATCCCCACATGAAAATTCAATTTTTGTGCACACAAATATTTTTCATTCAGCTCCCTTTCCCTGCCTGATTTTTGCGACTGTCTGCAGCTGTGTCTGGCTACGTCAACTGTAAACAACATCAACACTAAACAGCAGCAGCAACAACAACGGCCTTGTCATGCCATGCCAACTCGCTCCCGCCCACTCGCCGCCCACTCGCCCAGCCACCCACTCCTCGAAAACCAAGAGCCAAAGCGCCCAAAAGCAGACTACAACAAAAGCCAAAGGCAACAGAATTTAGCCATATATAGACGAAGAAGTAGCTGAGGAATTCCGCATTCTCACGACATTTGATATCAATGTCATGCTATTTGCTACACACCAAGCCTGGATGTCCTTCGGCCCCCGCAACGCCCTCCTTTGCCATCATCTTCAACAGTTTCTCGTCTGCTTAAAGGCGAGCTTCACATACACGCAAGTACATTGCGACGAGGAAGAAGGAAGCGAAAGCTGGAAAAAGGATTATTTGCTGCCACGCCCATTGGAGCAAATCAGAAGCTGCTTGTCAAGTATTTTTGCTCCTTAGCTCGCCCACACCCCCGCACACCCACTCACCCGCACACTCTTGGTGGAAATTTAATTTCGCATGTCTGGCGAGGATGCCACTTCCGCTTGCCTTTTAAAGGTTTTTCCTCGCCTCCTCGACTTTTTCCAGCTTTCCTCTCTTTCTCCGTTTTCGCTCGCTTTTCCCTCAGCCAGTTGACAATTACACCCACACGCACACACACACTCACACACTCCCAAATTGGCACAATTCCCGATAAACTTATCAATTTGATGGGCGACGGAGCTTTCCCCATTGAATTTTATTCGTCAACGCTAATCCATTAAATTGATTCGGTTGCTCAAATTGATTTTAAGCTGATTTCGTCGAGATTTTAATGTGTTTACCTGCGATTTATGTGCAATTGCAATTCCCCATTCCCATTCCCATTCCCATTCCCATTCCCCGTTGATCTAAACGCATATTAGATACGAGTGTATCCAGATCCATAACAATCTCGTGGCTGGATTTTGGATACTTTTCCAGATAGACGAGGGCCGTGAGATTCACTTTCTGACATAAACTGCATGTTAACATTAACATTTGATTTGTCAGCATAAATCAACGGCGACAGCCTCAAGTGCCCACACAGAAAATGCGCTAAGATGACGGGGACCACACACAGATCCGGTTTATACAGATACACGTACATTTTTCCCCATTTCGGTTGCGTTTCGTTTCGGGTTATATTTATTTAAATTTATCATGTTGAGAATTAAGTGGAAAACACTTGGAGTCGAAAGATTTGGGGGTTGGAGTCGCTTTTTTTTATTTTTCCATTTTTGGAGCACGTGAAATTTTATCAATGACCGCTGCGCTGTTGATATGTGGAATTTGATCTTTGTTTTACCAGAAGTTTACCCCCAGCCATCATCAGCGCCTAAACAAACACTTGCCCCAGATTAGACGAGTGCCGAGTTACAGTTCTGCCACATGGAAAATTATCTAGCTGGCCGTTTTCGGGCAGAGGGCAACAGAGGCCAAAAATTATATAGAAATATCTATTTTGTTTTTTGCCTTTGTAACCGCTGACAACCTTTTAAAGTTGAGGGTTGATTTCGGGCCATATGTTGCCGACGACTGGCGGCCGAAAAATGCTCCTTGTTGTCCTTTTTGTGTGTTGCTGCCGTTTAACTTTTCATTGTTATTGTAATTTCCACTGTAACTGTTACTGGGCTTCCACGGGCCAAGGGGATGGCCAGCATCGTCCTTATTCGTCCTTATAATGATGAGGGCAGCAACAACACGCCAAGGCGCAACAGCTGTTCCTCCGGCAACTGAAGGCCAAAAGGACTTGAAACGAAAAGAAATTTGTTTCACTTTGCTTTAAAGTGATTCCTTGCGGTTCCTGCCGGCCCCCGAATTTCGGGCTGTGTGTGCTCGAGTGGGCGTGGCATGTTGGCAATCTTTCATCGAGTCCTTTTTTGTGCTTTCGCCTGGCAGACTTGAAGTTTAATGGCCTTAAAGAGGTCAACGAGTATTTTAGCTAAGTCTAGTGTGCTGCGCAATACGAATATTTTGCACGACAGGGACTTTAGTTAACAGGAAAAATAATACGAATAATAATTTGCAATACAGCAATTATCCTCTTAGCGAACATAATCGAACAGATTTTCGATCAGGTGGCATCAAATCTGCTTCAATAAATCAATTCGCATCCTGCGCCGTGTATTTCGAGTGCTACTCAACTGCTAACATTTATTTTCAGCTCTACCAGCTCATAATCAACTCCCCGGCCACGCCCACAGCCACAACCCACCACTTGAAAAACGACAAGAAGGCTTTGTTATTGTAATATGCATACAGCACATAATTCAATAGTGCAACATACAATTCTGACACCTCTCACAAAAAGCCAAATCACTTGCAACTCGCCTCGGGAAGCGGAAAATCAACACACAGGGGAAAATCTCAACAGCTGTGCCAAAATGCAGGCCTCATTATGGCACTGCGGAGATGGTTAGGTTGGGTTGGGTAGGATTGGTTTGGTTTGGGTTGGGTTGGCTTGGGTTGCATAATCATCCACCCGTGGGGTCGGGTTGGAAAATCCCATTTGCAACGCCCTCAAAATTATAATCAGCCCAAGCTGCACTGGGGAAGAAAATGTCAACGAAGGTCAGGAATGAAAACTCGGCGGATTAGTATGCAGTATATTCCCGACTGTTTAGAGCTTTGAATGCATAGGGTTTTCTTTTCAACTAATTTAGCGAGCACTTGAAAATGTGTATTTCCTATTAGGAAATATTCTGAGTGTGCTAATGTGCTAATCATATTTTGGGTGGGTTTTCCGACTTACCGGCATTGCCTGGCAGACATCGCTATCCCATTGCTGCTGGGCCAACTGCTCCTCGTTGCAATCCTGTGGCACCACCGTGAATTCGGCCAGCGCCGGCGGCCTTGGGGGCGGTGGGATGAGGAACTGGGGCGGTGGGGCAAGGGGCGTGCCCGAGCAATCGTCGCAGTCGAACATGAAGAGCTCTGCTTCGGACAGTTCCATCATATCCAGCATTTTCCACATTGAGTACGTGTGATCTCGGCTGGACGGGGTGTGGTATATGGGTGGTATACCTCCTCGATCTTCGGGGTTGCGGGGATTATCTATATAGGGGGCTTGGATTCCCGGTTCGGTTGCGGGTCGCTTTGCAGTTTTTGGGTGCGTGTCAAATTCGCTGCCCGATCGCTGTCATCTGGACAGCCTTCATTGGCGGCCTTGTAGCTGAAAGATAGAGGGAGAAAAGGGGTCTGGTTAGTTGAAAAGTACTCAGCATGAGGCCTTGTCTCCTTTTGTGTGCTAATTATCGCACACATGGATGTCCTGGCACGTAACAATTGCGGGACTTTCTATCTTTAATTGGCCTTATCCTGCGCATCTGCCCACGAACACGACTGTGAGCCAATGCAAACTGAAGAATGAAATCAAATGAAGTAAAATCTTCCACCTAACCACCTCCTGGCACCCCTACAGCACCACCACCCCCTTTGTGGCCAAATGTTAATTTTTATTGATTTCCTTAATGCGTTTCCATTTTTTGCTATTTATTTTTATTTACTTTGCTCGCCAGCTCTGCTATATTTATCCCTTTGCACCCCGATTTCCGTCGACTCACTGGCAATTGTTTTACCCCAGGTTTTTCCAGCGTGTGTGCTGCGTGTTTTCTATTTTCAATACTTCTATTATTATTATCCTTTTTTTGGCTGCGGTTGTGTTTTTTCTTCACACATATGCTGACAAAATAATTGAGAAAAAACGGTTGACTTGGTGAAACCTTTTTCGGCGTTAAGGTTTCGGGGGTTCAATTGAGTTAGGACGGATGATTGATGGTCCTGCGTGGCAATCCGATATATTATGAGGCGCAGTAGGTAGATACAGATACGGATACAGATACATGAGTGGTCGGGGTTTTGATCGAAACGCCAACATTCGGCTGCTGTTTGTGGGACTTGTCTCGCAGCTCAGCTGCACTGACAGCCCAAGAATTCCCCATCTGTTGTGTGGGGTAGTCCAAGTCCAAGGTTGGCATTGTGGTTCCAAGTCCGATTCCGATTCCAATACCGAGTCCAATTCTGAATCTCGTTCTGAGGCTGAATCTTATTCCCATTCTCAACATATGTTGCCAGTTGGCTTCGTTTAATTAGCTGACAGTTCTGGAGAGGAACGGCGAAGAGAGTCTCGATTCGATTCGAGGCACTGCAGCCTGATAAGATCTCGACAAAAAATGTGTATGTGTATGTTGTGTATGCACACAGTATCTGTGTGTGTTGTCTTGCAATCAAATGTAAGCCGCTGTTGACATTGGAGATTAAAAGATATTAAAAACGAAGACGACAACGGCCTGAAGCGGCAGGAAACGGGAGGAGAACCGTGGAGGAGCTCTTGGATATAAACACAATGACAAACAGACAAACAGACAAGCAGACAGTCCGACGGACACACAAAACATGTCAAAGATGAAATGTTGTAAAGAAAATTGAATTGAATTGAAGTCCAGCGCAGACCAAACTAATAAATAACAAAAGAAATCAGACGAAAATAAAAGTAAAATCGAAATCAAAACGGAAAAGAAATCTCAAAAGACAAGATTGAATTTCAAGAAAATGTGCGCTCGCCAAACTTAAAGCTTTAGTTACGGCCGGGCTCTCTTGAAAATCGATTGAATTGTCTGGTCTGGGTGATTAACTTGAGCAGACAAAACTTAAAAAAAACCAACGGCCGAGAATAATGAAATAAATCGTGTTGAAAAGAGCCAAGTTAAGCAGAGGGAGTCCCGAGAAAACCCAAATGCGAGACAGACAGTCAACGAAATCGATTTGTTTTGAGATTAAGTCGACTGGCTTGGGATACAAACCATTCCATGCTATCCCATGCCATCCGTATCCCTATTCCAATCCCGTTCTCGTTCCCGCTCCCGTTCCCTTTCGGCCAAGAAACGGATTTAACTGAAGCGTAAAACGGAAATGTTATGGACAGGCTCAAAAGGAAGCGTAATGGAAATCAAAGTCCTAACCGAATCAGGTGCAGGAGCTCGGGGGGCAATTAGCGTGGGCAACTCGTTTCGATAAGAACGGCTGGCTCCCAAATCAGAGGCTGGGGAAAAGCACTTTGATAATTGTCTTAAAGCCGGGCCCACTCGGATAATTGCTTTAAAGCTGGCCATACTTATGGGACAGCTGAGCCAGCTGGGATCGGATCGAATCGGCTCCGGGATAATGAATCCCCGCCCTGCTGATCATAACTCAAACACTTCAAGCCCAATTAAAGGGTTTTCCATTTCTCCCCCAAAATAAACGCCATTTCTCCCATCTTCCTTTCACTTTCAACGCACTTTCAACGCGCAGTTGATTTATTCCGGGAGAACTTCTTCCACTACTTGACAAAGACAATTGCGGTTCAAGTACAAGAACAGCTGGCTCAAACTTATACACTTTCATAATTGAATTGTTTGATTGGGAAGTTGTTAAAAAAGAAGAGAGAATGGAAATGTAAAATTAGATGGACACAGCCCAAAAGTCAGGCCTCATATCGGGGGTTGCTATATGGCTATATGGCTGTATGGCTCAATTGCAATTGGGTTCGTGTCGGTCAGGTAAGGGAAACGCATTTATTAGCTGCCATGATAAATGTTCCCCGGCACTGGCGACAGGCCATCGGATTCAAGGCAAGGATCTCCGAAATCCGTACCGTCTATAGGGTATGTGTGCACTTCCCTCCTCACAACTTTTTTGACCGCCGGTCTATGTGTAATTTTAATTCGTTTTGGGTCGCACAGAGGAAATTGATATGGGTGCGTCGTAGTTGTCTGGGCCATGGAAACCAGGCTCAGGTAAGAATTGGTATCTCCTTTTTTCCCTGTCGCACTCGTTCCACTTTTTGTGGCTCGCATATTGAGACATTATAGTTAGGGCACTGATATCGCAGCGGGGGATTGTCGGACTCGTAAGTGGAACAAATGTGGCAGACAGTTGGAATTATCCTCGGAAATAATGGTTGCAAAATCTTTGGGGTTTATGTGATTCAGATAAGCACTATCCAACTGGTACTTGATACTGTAATTATTTCAAAAGTATTCCAAATTTAATTACTCTTTTATCCGTGGGCTATAACATTTTGTAGTAAAAGGCCTGTTTCCTTTGATTTGTTTGCACACATTTTAAACTACATTAAAGCCGGTTTTCCCTAGTTTTTCATCTTTAATCTGTGGAAAAGCCGCAGGGCCTGGGCACACACACAAATTACTGAGATCTGGGCCCGGTTTTAGCCCTCAGTTGTGATTTACCCAACCTACGGCAACTTTTGACTTAGCTTACATATCATTTATTATTTGCGAGGGCCAGGGTCCCGAGCTGCCTTGTTGTCCACAAGGTGTGAGTGCTCTACTAACCAAACAGAACTTGCCACGCCCCCGAGGCGTTGGGCGAGAAAAAAGCGAGGGAAGGAAAACTTTTAAATAAAGCAAAGATTGGAGGGCAATAGGAGAGGCAAGATGACGGCATGTCACATCAATGTCACTCAGCATTAAGGCTGAAAGAGAAGTGGATGGGGGATGGTGGGGGAAATTCATGTCCTGCCAGCACTGCGAGCACTGTGATAAAGTTTTTTTTTGTTATTCAAGCTGCTCGCCTCCTTTTTGCCAGTTCCTCTTCGGCCGCCGGGCAGCTGAGCGTGAAAAACAGCCTCCTGAATTTTCCCCGGCCTTTATGTGCGCTCTCGCTTTTCCTACGCTTTCCTCTGCTTGGCTGGACTTTGCTGCCGCGATAAATTTACAAGCGTATAACAAATATTTTGCTTTGTGTTTACAATTTCTTACTGCTTAATATTCCTGCGCCAATGTTTTGTTTCTGTCCTCCATATAGCGACTTATTTGCATAAGATACTTTCTGTTTGAGGTCTGAGCGGAGTTTACCTTGTAAGTAGCTTAGAAATTGCCATAAGTAGCCCTATTCAATGAACTTAGTTCTTTGATGCAGACTCTGCGCGGAAAGCAAATAAGATATTTTTAGCCACTGTTTGCACTCACATATTCATCACTGGTACATCGATTTAAAAAATGCCTGTACTTCATTCTGTGCACTAGAGCAGACGACACTTTTACTGAAATTTATGTTTCAGCTACAGAGGAAAGTCAGTTGGCTTATAAATTTCAGGGGCACACGCTTGGCATACTAATTAGCCGAGGGATTTCATTCGAAAAAAGGCTAAACAACGAGCGGAAATCCTGTGAAAAAGGGCCGACATGTGTACAACTCAATTCCGAATTAAAATTCAATTTGCCAAACAGGTAGAATGCTTCCAATTCCCATTCACATGACTCACACGACTCAAACCGATTCCTAATTCAGAACATTGTGACCGCAAGCAGTTCACTTGTCCGGGGACTTTTCGAGCTACCCACGCCACTCCAGATCGAGTTGTTATTATTATTTATATCCATGGCGGCCACGATTCCCGTTTAACAACTCATTTAAGACCAGATCTTATCGCGATCCTTCGTGCATCTTCTTGTCCGACTTCCCCAACTCCCGTCGAAGCATAAATTTTATTTTGCGTGAATTTATGAGTTGCGCCGTCGACAGGCGGGGTTTACTTTACTTATTTACCAAAGGATTTACACGTTGGAGAATCGGGGAAATAATCAAATAACGAAATAATGAAATAATGAACTTCGACTGGCTGCACTTGTTGCGCGTTTGCTAATAATTTAAACAAATTTACAGAATGGAAGACCAGCGCTCAAAAATGCAGGTAAACAAAGGTGTCGCCTCAACTAGTATTTGGTTATAATTAAAGGTGCCTCTCAGTCTTTTCTCCTCTTTATTTCCCGGGTCTGTGGCGGCTGCTTCGCTTTGAAGAAGGGAAGAAGCCGCAGCCCCAGCGAAACCCAGAGATGATTTGTTTACATTCTCTTGGAGCCGCATGGGTCGCCACAAGAGTTCTGGGCTTTATGGCAACGTATGGCGCAACTGATAGCTGCACAACTATCTGCTGTTTCCACAAAAAGCGCTCATCACTCGCTTGTAATTTTATATGGGTAAACATACATATCTGTTTGATAGACACATCGCACACTTTCGGGGAATTTTGATTTGGAATCGGATATAATCCTTCACTTGCTTATTTGAATAATTCCCCCAACTTCCTCCCATAAATCTCACTTTTTACGGCCTCACTCCTCTGAAATGCATTTCTGTTCGTTTCAATTAGTCACCGCACTCTGAAGATTAGAAAACCGAACTTTAAACATATTTTGATGTTGTAATTTCCGAATCAAAGGGAAATTCCGTTGATCTTCGCTAAGAAGATTGTCACTCGCCTACAGAAGCTCAACCCAAATCGCCAACTAATCCGCTGCGTAAAAGTTTTCAATTTCTCTGCGGCATATCCAGGTTTGATTTTCCATTTACCATTTCCCATTTCCCATTTCCCTGCCCACTTACCCGCTTTTCTGCTTTTATAGTCCAACGGATATTTGTCAAGTGGTTTGATAAACTGTTTCTGCTTGTCTTTTGCTAGCTAATCAAATCGGATTCAAGCCAATTATTAATCCAATGTATTGCCTTGCGAATTTCGCTTTGATTTTTGACAACTTTTCGAGTATCACTCAACACAGAATATTTGTGGTATTATATTTACTATTATTTGTTTGCACGGCGCGCTTATCGTTTGCTAGTAATTTGTGATTATTATATTCGCTGGTATTTATTTTCGTTTTGAGTAATCCACTGATTCACATATCTTGAAAAAAGTCTCGTATTCCGTTCAGAGTTTTCTTTTCGATTCTTGTGGCAACACGCGAGACACACGTCCGTTTACTGCGACGTCGAGTCAAAAACTGAATTCCAAATTCGTTTCGAGTGACTGACGACGGCAGCTACATCTGCAACATCTGCAGCGGCAACAGCACGACAGCAACATCGACGTCGGTTGCCGAATCGAGAGAGTTCGGGGAAATGAACTTTCCCGAGAGAGGATGAACGCATTGTGGTTCGGGCTCATTCTAATCGGCCTTTTCGCACATTTTCGTTGCAGTTGCCGTTCGCTGGCGCTGGAAAATTGTTCACGTTGCTGCCGACAACAACAATGATGCACATAAATAAATGTACTTCAAATATTGCTTACCCATTTTTTTTATTAAATTACCCCTGCTCAGCTCGATTATTTCCACCCAAAGAATGTTTAAGATTTGTTTAACTTGCACTTAAATTCTGATGTCGTTGAACTCGGGCTTTTGCCAAAAGACACAAATCCCACAGTTTAGCAACCATCAACAAAAATTTTTTAAATTTAGTTATCAATATTATTTAAGATTATGTTTTACACAAAAGAAACCTTGTTTGCTATGTGCTATCATTTTATTTATATAGCAAGCTGATTTTAACATTTTAAAATTTTTTTTCATAATGTTGAAATGGTATTTATAAACTGCTTAAATTTGGAGATTAAATACCGGATTTTTCTTCTTTACAATATAGAAACACAAAAACATAAAGCTGATTAAAAGAGTCAAGCGATAATAATTATGACTCTTGCTCGAAAACAGATTTAGCATTTGGCTTTTCGAATAATAAGCTTAACTTACTCCTCTTAGGGTATCAATTACTGCACCTGCCCATTAAAAATGCATCACTCGAAAATGTTCCATAGAAACTAAATTGTACTTCATCATATCGGGATCCATTTCCAATTTTATTTACCGGTCAGTAAAAATAACAACTTTTTGTCGTTCAATCAAGTGAAGAAGAGCAACAAAAACAACGACCACTGCCAAGGTCAATGTCTGATGGGAGTGGTGGTGAAAACAGGGGGAGGCAGCGTTTTCAGCATTTTCCTGGTTTTTTATTCTTTGTTGCTGTTTTCAGCTGCATGTAAAAGTGCAATAACAACAACAGCAGCCGGCATGAAAATTCAATGTTATTTTTCATATCACACAAGAAGAACTCTCTTTCGAAGTTCGAACTTCGAAAATGAACTGGCTCTCTCGCTCTCGGTCTCCCTCTCTTTCTCTCTCTTGTATTTGTTGTAGAAGTTGCTGGCGCCTTAGCAACATGTTGCTGGCTGGTGCACACTCTTTTTTTGTTGCAATGCGATTTGTGTTTACGCATTTTTTTCGCACCTCCACTTACTGTTTACGTTTATCGTTATACTTTCACCTTCTGCGCCACTTTGGCCCCAGCCCCGCCCACTCCTGCACCTCCCACCCACCGCATTCCTTCTATGTTTTGTTTATAAACATTCTTAACTGTTTGTTTTCAATGCAATTCCATTGTGCCAGTTGCTGAAAGCAGATGAAAAAATTAGGTGTAGAGTGGAAAATGCTGTGGCCTATCTTTTGAATGGGCTACACTGCAAGGAATTTTCATTTAAAATTTCAAAGGCAATAGATACTTGAGTTTTAAAATACTTACTTAAATCAGTGTCTATTATTCAGCAAAGGTAACAAAAATGAAAATTGAACTATTTAGTTCTTTCAATAAATGGAACGCCCATATAATCAAAAATATTTTATTCAAACAACTTTTTGTTTCTGTGCATGCACAAGTTGTTTACAGAACGGGGGAAATTCTTTATAAATAGTTACTTGTCGACAGCAGCAGCGACAAATGCTTTTGGCCGCAACTTAGTCAAAGTCGCTAACGGTAATATCCATGCTGCCCCCCTCGGAAAATCCCACCCCCTGGAAAGCCCACCCCTCCCAGACTCATTAGGCGCGTCAAGTGATATGTTTGCCTTCGCCTGTTTCCCGGGAACCAAACCGAAACACATTAGCGGCTCATTCCTGCAACTTGGGGCCAAAAGAGAAAAGGCCACGCAAATTAAAGGCGCATTAAGTGATTGACCAGGGAAGGGGGGAAAAGTGCGGGGAAGTGCTGGGAAATGGCGACCACACGCACATTCGGAAAACTCGAAGAACTTTTGGAGCAAAACCGCAAAAAGATGCAAGCTCAAAAGTATCTTAAGGCTGCCAGCACTCATGAGAAATTGCCAAAACCAGAGATACAAAAGAAGACCGACTTAAAATTATATCATGTATATGTATGTATGTACATATAAAATGCATAAAAAATATCTTTTGCTCCAGCCAAAACAAACGTTTTGCAAAAGATCCCAAAATCCTATAAGCTCACATTTATCTCTCGGATGAAAATGCGAACGCTGAAAAGTAGCTCGTGGGTACAATAGTTTTGAAAGTATTTGCTGGTAAGCAAAACTTACGAAACATGTATATACATACAATTTCTTATTTCATCTTATAAGTGGAAATGTTTAGAACAAGATTAAATATTTCTCAAAAATATGTACCTTTAAGTCCGTCCAATTAAATCCAATGCCAATTCTTAATTGTTTTATTAAATGCCAATATTCACAAAATTCTCCAAGGTTGCCCTGTAAAATTTAGATAACAAATCTCAAATTAGCCAGCCTGTTTGCAGGTTGCCAAAAATTCATAAACAAAATGCTCTTTTATGTATATCAGCTCCTCGCACATGAACACACGACAAGACAGCTGACGGCGAGGCTTGTTTGCAGATACAATAATTAATAATTCCGGGATAATCTGCATGTTTGTCAAAGTGATACGGCCCAAAAACGGCAAGAGGAGAAAAATGTGTTTGCCGAAAACCCAACACAAAAGCACCCACACACGCACGTGAATATTCAAATCTGTGTGCGGAAAAAGTAAGCCAGCCAAAAATATTTCGGAACGCTCAAAACCATCTGCATAAATACATTTAGATTGGGTTTGAGTCCGATTCCCCGCCTCTGAAGGGAGGTCCTGCTAATGATTCTCTGCGATTGGGCTGGACATCCTGCAAGCCATCCACTTCCCCTTTTCAATTGAGATTTTGCTTACTTTACAGCTGTTCATGTGCCCTCCACATTTGACATTTATTGCTGCAACTTCATTAGGTCTAAGAAAAATATTATTTTTCCCACAAAGTTGTTTAACAAAAGGATGCTTCTCCGAATATACAACTCACAGTCAATGATTGCATAAATTCATTGGGCCTAAAAAAATTCGAATATCTTTTATAAACTGGAAAGTATATTACCTAAACTTCAATGAAACGTTTAAAGGCCTGTTTTGATTTATCATTGAAAAGATTGGATTTTATCAGTATCCATATCTAAAGAATACAGACAGTACTCATGTCTTATCGTTATCACTCACAAACTTTCTGACCTTCGCAGGGAGTTTTCCCAATCTATGTAGTTCAAGGTTCTACACATTCCGTTTGTGGCATGTAGCAAGCAGGGAAATGAAACTCTGAAATAATCTCTCGAATGATTTCGCACAATTCCCGTGTGAGATAACACAAACGCACCCATCCCGCCCCAATGTGCCAATTTCAAGTGCAATTATAATTTTTGTTTGTCATGCAAAAACATCAACAGGCAAAAACAATCGACAATGGGAAGCGGCAGGCTCCAGCGACAAAATGGGGAAAAATACGCAAACAAAACGAGGCACGAAAACTGGGTGGCGCTGTGGCAAGGACGAGGGGGTGGTGGTAGGCGTAGGCGGAGGCGGAGGAGGGGCAGGGGTTGGAGGGCTGTACGCCCACAATCAAACTGGGTCACATGGCCAGCCAGTGCAATTTGCATATGCATGAGTGGCAGGAAGATACAAAGAGCGGTAAGATATATGTATGTATATGCGGTGCGGTCAGGATCGGGATCGGGAAACGGAAGGTTGCAAGGGGTAAGCAAGGGGTGGAGCTGGGGACAGGTTGCCGACTGGAGGTGTGCAAGTGTGTCCTGCACGTCCTTCGGCACATGACTTTACAGTTTTTCGACCTCTTCTAATAAATTTCCGGCCAAGTGGAATATGCAAAGTCACCAGGAGCGGAAGACACACGCAGCATAGGTGCACTGAACAAATAATTATACTGCAAACGCAAATCGAGAAAATCATAAATGTGGCTTATAACAACATATTTCGGTGATTCATAGTTCAGAACTCAATTAACTATAGGTTCCAAAAAGCATTCCGTTTGTATACTGAATGTTTGAGTTATCGGTTCTCTACTTCTGATTTTTTCTCTGCATTTTACAAAGATAGCAACATACCTATATAGTTGTTAGTCCCCCATATATTGCAGATGTATATGGCTCGTAAATCAGCGCCCAACTGTGGCACCTTTTGTGGGGCGTCGAGGGGATTTCCCAACTGGTCCAAAAATCTCTCCAACTGTGTCCAGTATTCAGCATATTTGCCAATGGTTTTTCTTTGCCATGCTGGCAACCCGGTGCCTTCTGCACTCGCATGCATATCCTTGATACGCTTTTGTTGCATTATTCTAATGTCCATGTGGGGCAATGGGCTTCCTTATTGTTTTGTCCGATCTGCGACCTTAATGCGAGTGGGTGTGTTCGGCTGTGGGGAGTGATTTGCATACTCAGCTGGTCCATTTTTAGCCAACTCTCAACTACGCCCACCTTGGCCATTGCCGGTTTTGGCCCACATTCCACACTGCAGTTGGCCGTAATTAAAGGTGTTAATGCCGCTGATAATTACACTCGCCACTCGGCCCCAAAACCCCCTTTTGTGGCGACTCTGCTATCGTGGCGGCCATAAATTGTTCGGGGTCAGGCACACACAGAGGTGTGTTTTATGTCCTGTAAGTAGTGGCTATTTATGGCGAACTTGGCTGTAAAGAAATCCAGAGGCAGCAGTTTATGGGCGGTTCGGAACTGCTAAAAGCCTGATCTATCGAGGATTGCAGCTCCACATTGTTGAATTAGCAGCTTTAAGGGCAATTTAGCTGTTTTTGTACGTTCCAAGGTTACAATTAAAGCACACAACTTACTAATAAGCTACGTTTCCCAAATAAATATATGTAAGCTAGCTATAATAAAGTTGATCCCTAATTATGAACCAGTTGGCTGCAAATTATTGAGCATAAATAGCTAAGCCGTCCCC